GGACTAATATGTTGTTAGCATGCATATGATGACTTAATCTATTGTACATAATCTTCTCAAGCACTTTAGAAAAGGTAGTTAAAAGTGAAATTGGTCTGTAATTTGTCATACTGGTTTTGTCCCCTTTCTTGTACAGCGGTCGTACTACTGATATTTTAAGGTGGTCCGGGAAAATGCCTGTGTATAATGAGTGATTACAAATGTGGGTTAATGAACGACTAATTAAAGCTAAACAAGCTTTCAAAATTTTACCTGTTATTTCATCATAACCTGATGAGTTTTTTGACTTGAGGGACTGTATTATACTTTTCACCTCAGTTTCAGTGGTTGGAATGATATTAAGGCCAGAAAATTTTACAGGAAAAATGTCCACGGTTTTGTGACCAGGATTTTTAAACTTATCCTGTCACCTGATGAAGGAAGTAGAGACAATTTAAAAATATATGATTGGTTTAAGAAATAGGTCAGTGGACAGAGTCTGAAAGATTATTTATTCACACTGTATTATTTTTATTTACATTGCAAAATTTAATGAATGGTTGTGAACTTACATGTCATCTTTGGTGAACCCAGTAAAAACAAAAATATCAGTTGCAAATGATACTGTGTTTATTCTGAGTAGTAAAAGATGCAGTGGAAAATGGAGGCCAACTAGACATTATGGCCCAACAGCTGAAGTTTGTAGCATGCCTCAAGATTCTGATGGAAGAACTTTCAACACTAGCAACAGGGTTTGAGGTGGATGGAGGCCAGTTACGTTACCATCTATATGTGTGGCTTGAGGCACTGAGGCAGCTGTGCAATTACAGCTTTGGGGATATAGAGTCATCCAATGCTGGTGAGTTCACATATATTTGATGAGCATTAAAGTCATTTAACAAAAAAGAGTTGATAGAGTCATCTTGTGTTGGTGCGTTCACATACATTTGATGAGTATTGAAGTCAGTTAACAAGAAGAGTTCATAGATTTATCCACTGCTGGTAAGTACACATTCATTTGACCAGCATTGATGAAGTCAGTTATTAAAAAGAGTTGATGCTTCTTGTACTCATAGAATGTTCATCCACAATGTCAGAGATTTACAATTCCCCCGGAAGTTTGTATGTGGTTTCATGCATGTTACTACATGCTTATAGTGTCTTGTCTGCCATTATTTCCTATTAATAACATTTTCTGGGTAAAACTGTAACTAATCTCAGGTTTCTTGAAGGATATTTTGGTTTCGCAAGCTATGTTATTAGTAAAAAAAATATACCGCAATTGGTTCTCAATTATCTGCAGCTGTGGAGAGTACTATCATGGATAACTCAAAAGAAACAATGATCAGCAACACCATAGCTACCCTTATTAAACAATTTGCTATGTAAAGATATTGAATAATACAATTAACACATTTATTGAACTGATCTTTGTACTCATTTGACCCTTCAAAGCCAAAGCTTATCTAAATAATATGTAAGAACTCTGTGTGTACCCCAAAGAAAACAAGTACTTCACCATTACAAAGATAAACTTGTTGATGATGTTTAAGGAAATAATACCTGAAGATATCCGTCTTCTGGGTTGTTGCGCTGTGTAGTCTGGTCGATGTTAACCAACGTTTCAGAGGTCATACTGCCTCCGTCATCAGGGCGAATATTCATCGCCCTGATGACGGAGGCAGTATGACCTCTGAAACGTTGGTTAACATCGACCAGACTACACAGCGCAACAACCCAGAAGACGGATATCTTCAGGTATTATTTCCTTAAACATCATCAACAAGTTTATCTTTGTAATGGTGAAGTACTTGTTTTCTTTGGGGTACACACAGAGTTCTTACATATTATTTAGATAAGCTTTGGCTTTGAAGGGTCAAATGAGTACAAAGATCAGTTCAATAAATGTGTTAATTGTATTATTCAATATCTTTACATAGCAAATTGTTTAATAAGGGTAGCTATGGTGTTGCTGATCATTGTTTCTTTTGAGTTATCCATGATAGTACTCTCCACAGCTGCAGATAATTGAGAACCAATTGCGGTATATTTTTTTTACTAATAACATAGCTTGCGAAACCAAAATATCCTTCAAGAAACCTGAGATTAGTTACAGTTTTACCCAGAAAATGTTATTAATAGGAAATAATGGCAGACAAGACACTATAAGCATGTAGTAACATGCATGAAACCACATACAAACTTCCGGGGGAATTGTAAATCTCTGACATTGTGGATGAACATTCTATGAGTACAAGAAGCATCAACTCTTTTTAATAACTGACTTCATCAATGCTGGTCAAATGAATGTGTACTTACCAGCAGTGGATAAATCTATGAACTCTTCTTGTTAACTGACTTCAATACTCATCAAATGTATGTGAACGCACCAACACAAGATGACTCTATCAACTCTTTTTTGTTAAATGACTTTAATGCTCATCAAATATATGTGAACTCACCAGCATTGGATGACTCTATATCCCCAAAGCTGTAATTGCACAGCTGCCTCAGTGCCTCAAGCCACACATATAGATGGTAACGTAACTGGCCTCCATCCACCTCAAACCCTGTTGCTAGTGTTGAAAGTTCTTCCATCAGAATCTTGAGGCATGCTACAAACTTCAGCTGTTGGGCCATAATGTCTAGTTGGCCTCCATTTTCCACTGCATCTTTTACTACTCAGAATAAACACAGTATCATTTGCAACTGATATTTTTGTTTTTACTGGGTTCACCAAAGATGACATGTAAGTTCACAACCATTCATTAAATTTTGCAATGTAAATAAAAATAATACAGTGTGAATAAATAATCTTTCAGACTCTGTCCACTGACCTATTTCTTAAACCAATCATATATTTTTAAATTGTCTCTACTTCCTTCATCAGGTGACAGGATAAGTTTAAAAATCCTGGTCACAAAACCGTGGACATTTTTCCTGTAAAATTTTCTGGCCTTAATATCATTCCAACCACTGAAACTGAGGTGAAAAGTATAATACAGTCCCTCAAGTCAAAAAACTCATCAGGTTATGATGAAATAACAGGTAAAATTTTGAAAGCTTGTTTAGCTTTAATTAGTCGTTCATTAACCCACATTTGTAATCACTCATTATACACAGGCATTTTCCCGGACCACCTTAAAATATCAGTAGTACGACCGCTGTACAAGAAAGGGGACAAAACCAGTATGACAAATTACAGACCAATTTCACTTTTAACTACCTTTTCTAAAGTGCTTGAGAAGATTATGTACAATAGATTAAGTCATCATATGCATGCTAACAACATATTAGTCC